TGTCATATTGCAGACAATTTCGTGTGGCCATGAAATCGATTTCATAGAATTTCAAGATTATGCCTTACAGACAGTTTGTTACTTTGTGCAGTTATATCCGTGGTTCTGCATGCCAACTTCGGCACAAAAGATATTGATTCATGGTGCAGAAGTGATAAATTCATCGGTATTGCCGATAGGGCAGATGTCTGAAGACGCTCAAGAGTCTACTAATAAATACATTAAAAAGTTTCGAGAAGATTTTGCAAGAAAAGTTCCCGAGTGAAAACAATGGAAGACATTATTTTACGCCTATTATTAATATCCGATCCGTTTATTTCGAGTTTGTGCGAATTACCTCGAAAAAACTCAGTCGTTGCTTCCAGAAGCAGTTTTATTGTTAGTTGCGCCACGTATACCAGCAAGTACGGGAAGCTCCAGCGATTTCAAAGTTGAATCATCTGATTGCGAATCAAATTATTCTTTGGATGACGATGAATGAACCTTTAATCAACTGATTGTATGTTTTATTGTATTAAACAATATACAGTATGGATTTATTTTGTACTTTTTCTATAAAAGTGGTTCGTGTTAAATCCGTCGTTTTGTTTTTATTTCAAATTTTGACTTCGGATTCGTAATCAGCGATCCCGAAAACCCTCGAGTACTGACTTTCAGCCAAATTGATAACGTTTTTGACTTTTGGCCAGCATTTTGGGATTTGGTCCCACTATGCGTCGGGCGTACAGTTAGCGGTAGGCCAGGAATAAGATATTAGGAACTGGAATCCCTCGATGTAGGTTCGCGCCTATGCAATTTTACTGTTTTTATGTGTAACTTAATTATTTTACTGTATCATTAGCATTATTATTACTATTATTATTCCTCACGTTTAAAACTTATAAAACAAGAAATCTTAAAAACGTGACGTCATTTCCTGTTTATGGAAAATGAAGTCTCTGAAGATTTAACTCTTGTATGTGGTTAAATAAAATTTTTATTTCTTCATATTAATTTTCAGATATGGTGATATTGTTATATTTGAAGTGTAACAAACAGGAACGCACGAAAAAATTATCCATAACATTAACAATTAAAAAAAAAGCTACGACTATGCTATCCTATTTTCATATCAAACTTGTCTTTTTTGTCTTTCGTGTGCAGTAACGTCTGAAGCTTATGTGCTTGTGTTGACATTTTGTGTAACCGCGAGCGAAAGTATCGTTCTAACCACTCAGCTATTGCAATTACAAATAGAAAAGCTATAAGCTAAACACTCAATTTTCAGAGGCCCGTTTTTCGAATACGCCTGAGAAATGGATCCTATTATTTGGACAAGAAGCTGTTTTTGTTTAGGGCTACATGCTCACCAAGTTTCTTTCGAATCGGAAACCCGAACGTCTGCCCCTCCTTTTGTAAGTCAGTGTTTCCAGCCACTAGCGGTCAAGCGGTCTTCGTTCCCTGAACACTGGGAGTTCGGTCGCGGGTTCGCGCCTCGTTCGGACGGGCTGGCCACGTGGAGTTTTCCGGGTTTTCTCCACGTCCGTAATGCCTAAATAGAAGTCAGTTTCCATTAAAAAGACCTCCCGGAAGGCATCCCCCTAGGCAGATCGCCCAATAGCTGCGTTGCCATAACCAAAACAAACAAATAGTGTTTCCCGACCCTTTTTGTGCTATGCCCCACCTAATCCTTTCTAATATTCTTATGCCTCCTAACATATACAGCGGCTATATGATTAACTTAAACTCTGGACGAGTCCATTTTCAAATTGCTCCCCTTAAAATAAAAAAACCACTTACAACAGTGTTTCCTGTTGGGAAACACTGTTGTAAGTGGTTCTTTTATTTCTGTTTTGTTTATTTAATCCCTTGTATCATGTAATCCTTTGATAATAGCTACAATGGCCATTTTCCGGCATAGTTCCTCGGGGTGCAGAATATTTTCAAAACCCAAGGTTCTCCCAAAATTTATTATACACTAGCAGTAATCTCAAGACCTGGCTCTGTTCGCCATTGGTTTTTCTTTGAACAATTAAAACACGTATAACATTTTTTTTATTAATAAGTCTTCAACAATTTTGTTTTTTATTTTTTAACTCTTTCGGCGTTGTGAGCACTAAGATGACCTCAAGATGAGTTCACCCAAGCCCACAATGGGATGGTCAAGAGGACGAACACCGGTATATCCGGACGGACCATCCAAGAAAAAATCCTGGGGTTTTATTCTATCCGCCTAGATTCGATCTCGGTTCCCTAGAGCTGTAAGCTGTCACCTTAATTGTACGGCTATTCGGTCGATAAATGTTTTAATTTTTGTTAGCAAAAATAACATTAATTTATAAAGATAGGAATCACTACAGCCCCTAAATTTTCTTCTAAACGGGGACGATCCCCAGTTCCCTCTTTCAACATCCCTGCACACTAGCATACAAAACGAAACATTATAAGAACGAGTTAATAATTGTAATATTACTGCGTACTGTAGTTTAGAAAATTCAACTATTCTTAATGATACAATGAAAGTTTTTATTAAAAGATAATTTTTGAGTTTTTAGCTTTATGAAAATCCAAGATATGCTCGTGTACAGTACACAAAGCATAGTTTCTATTCTCTTTCTTCAGAATCAAAGCATGTACCGTATACTGTACACGCTTTGTTCAGAATATTATAAGCTTTTATTAACATTTGAAATTGTATTTTTATTTTTTAATATTTTATTATTAAAAAAAAACAATATATTCTTAATACTGTAAATTCAGTAAATGCTTGGCACAATCTATCAAAATTTATCTTAAGTTATTTATCATAACTATAAAATAAATTTATAATTTTTAATATTTAAATTTTAAAATGATCTTTAATATAATTCATTTATTTTTCAACAAACAAAAAAGTTATGTTGATATTAATAACAAATAATTAGGGATAAATATTACCACGAGATGGCGATAGGATAGTCGCTGTTGTAGATACAGAGTAATAGAGTAAATTCAAAATTCAAAAATATTGTCATGATATAAAGCGTAAAAAATAAAATAACATTCCAATTTAATTATTATATTATTTTATAAAAATTATTTCATTTTGTATTCAATAAGAAAAAGACAATATTATTTCCTACTTCATCAAGTTTAAAAAATAACGTAACATCCGTATAGAATTGGNCATACCCCAAGTCAGATCATGATAAAATTTCAAAAATCCCATATTCCTTTCAATATCAACATTACTCCAAGGCTCATCTATTTCCACAACAGATTTTCTTTTTGCTAGAATTATATAAAATAAATTTTCACAATTATTGAGGATGTACCAAATATGGTTTTTTTTTGCCTAGCACCAAATAATTCTTGTTTTTCCTGACTACCAAATAACTAATATTCAACCAAATATTCCAAATAAATACTACCAATTTATTTGGAACTACATGACACAAAAGGCTTAAAGCAAAGCGAATGATATGTCTTCTAATTAATAATAAAAATTATACAAGTTTTTATTTTTAACAAATTATTATTCATTAGATGATAAAAAGTAAAAAATTAAGTATTGCAATTGAGGCACATCATTTTTGTGCTTGGCAAAGCTGGATGTATTTATGATGACCAGCAAAATCACTCATTTCCTACAAATACATTATTGTTCCTTCATTACAACTTATTACCCTTGAATTATGATTATTAATAAAAATTATTTGATCAAAATAATTTATAAAACTTATATTTGTTTCAAAAATAAATAAATAACAATATTTTTAAATATCTGAGCTTCAGCATGTTCTTTTCATTCTATTTTGTGTTTTATCTTAATTTATTTTCTCTCTCCTCCTCTCGAAAATGAGTTTATATGATTAAACAGTTTGACTTTGAGGAAGTATGTGTTTAATACTTGACCAAATACCAAATTAATAAAGTGAAATCAATAACTTTAACAATATATACATTTTTAATTAGTAAAATGTTGCTCATTAACTGTTTAAAAATCAACAGCTTAAAAAAAATTATTTTTTATAAGCTATTGACTTTTAAACAGTTTGATTAAAATAATTTTTTTAAAGATATCTGGACTGTTCCATTAACAATTTCTTCTCAAATCTCGAGAAAACGTAACAATTTATTTTTACCATATTTTACACGTGTTCTCATTAATCAGCTCTCAATGATGGTTTGATTTCTTCTTGAAGGGACTTCGTACACAGTTCTCTCATCTGTAATAAGCTTCCTTCTAAGCTCTGAGCGAATAAATTCGAGCTAGTTATGTCAGAAGAATTGAAAGATGTGATACAGAATGTGATATGATTTTCTAAAGGGTTGTACGAGCAACCGTAACCGTTTGGAACAACCGGTCCGTATCCGACGATGATATCGTGTTTACTGGGAAGCTGAAACGTTAAAAAAATCGATAATGTTAAAGTTTTATGGAGAAAATAAAAAATATACTGTTTTATTTTGTAGAAAATGCCGCCTTATAGAGAATAAAAATGCAAAAAAAGAGGAAAAAAATCACCTGGCTTGTACTTAGACGAAAATTGAGGAACTCCTTGTAAGATTTATCTTTGAACAATTCGGGTTCTTTTATATTATTCATGACAGCAATTTCTTTTAAACCAAGGAGGTGATTATCCGGTCCTTCTCCGTTAATTGTCTAAAAGTAAAGAGAATCCACCGTCATTTCATTAGAGTTATAATGATTAGAATCAGAAAATAGTCATTATCTTCTTACGTAAACGAGAATTTCTGTTTGTTTTTTGACCGCTTCTTTGAACAGATTGAGTTTTTCTTCGTCCTAATTGGGTTAAATTATTGAATTATTCAATTGTTTTTAATATAAAAAGAACGGGGATGTAAGGTATATAACACGTGTTCCTACCTCTACCTGCGTGACGTCGCACATGGCTTGTACCCAATTGAGAGCTTCTGGAGTACAGGCTCGAATATTGTCAACTCTTCCGTATTTAAATTTCCTTAATGCTGCGCTTTCGTAGGTCGATACCAATTTTCTATACACTCTGGAATATTTAAAAGTTCCTAAATTATTAAAATAGATTTAACGTAGAGGTATATTCGGGGTAATAGTTTCCGTTGCCTTATCTCTGTTTGAGTTGGAGTAATAAAAAGAGACCAATTTCATTAACAATTCAGTAAATGGCGCTTCCAAGCGTTCAATCGTAAACAAGAATATAAAAAATTAAATTTTTTTATTTAATGTAAAATGAGAATTTTGACAACTGATTAAAAACTTTTTTTTCAGTTTATATTATGCTACTTTTTGCATGTAAACACGAAAAACTGACATTAAGTTTGAATATGTATAGTAGAAACGGTATCTAGAACGTTAAAATAATATGTTTCACTTTTTCAATTTTATTTTTAATACATGCAACATATATTACTTTCGGTTTGATTTAGAAATCTCGATTTTTTACATTTTATTTGCTATTATTATTAATTAAAGTTCACCGATAAAAAAATTGACTTTCAATAGTTTCCTTCACGATTTAATTAAACTATACAAATCATTTGTATAAATTGCATAAATCGTCAACGTTTGTGTGTTTTCCATCATAAATTAATTAAGATAGAGCTGTGTGTATACAATTAGTGATCCAGCTTTTGACGTTAATTACACCTCACTTCAACACCCTCAAAAACTTCAAGTGACTAACAAAAATGTTGTATTAGTCATTCGTCATGTAGTAAGCGATCTTGCAGTTTTCTAGTGATAATTTATAAAAACACGTTAAAATTTTTCTTAAAAAATACAGAAATTTGCGTAATAAATGAAATAATTATATATTAAATTTATTTTTGATTTTACAATGGACTCTTCGACACACTCCACAAACAATTTGTGGTTATTATTTAGAGGAAACGGGGTGAACTTTATTTAAACACACTTNGTTCTTTTATATTATTCATGACAGCAATTTCTTTTAAACCAAGGAGGTGATTATCCGGTCCTTCTCCGTTAATTGTCTAAAAGTAAAGAGAATCCACCGTCATTTCATTAGAGTTATAATGATTAGAATCAGAAAATAGTCATTATCTTCTTACGTAAACGAGAATTTCTGTTTGTTTTTTGACCGCTTCTTTGAACAGATTGAGTTTTTCTTCGTCCTAATTGGGTTAAATTATTGAATTATTCAATTGTTTTTAATATAAAAAGAACGGGGATGTAAGGTATATAACACGTGTTCCTACCTCTACCTGCGTGACGTCGCACATGGCTTGTACCCAATTGAGAGCTTCTGGAGTACAGGCTCGAATATTGTCAACTCTTCCGTATTTAAATTTCCTTAATGCTGCGCTTTCGTAGGTCGATACCAATTTTCTATACACTCTGGAATATTTAAAAGTTCCTAAATTATTAAAATAGATTTAACGTAGAGGTATATTCGGGGTAATAGTTTCCGTTGCCTTATCTCTGTTTGAGTTGGAGTAATAAAAAGAGACCAATTTCATTAACAATTCAGTAAATGGCGCTTCCAAGCGTTCAATCGTAAACAAGAATATAAAAAATTAAATTTTTTTATTTAATGTAAAGAATTTCTTTATTTTTAGACTATTTTTCACTTGGTAAAAGCTATAGAATTTTTTAAAAATTCGAAATTAAATTAAAATGCGGTCTTTTTAATTCATTGTACGGTTAACAATAGCAAAGGGTGTCTTACTTGTAATGAGTTAACTGTAAAGCTAGCTGTATGTAGACGTCTGGACTGATTTTCTGCCCTTTAATGAACTCTTTACCATATTCGTCAAACTTTAAAATGTATAAATCCACATCGTTTACCAATCTGAAGAAGAATAGAAAAAAAATCTCATGCGAAAATTTGAAGATGGACTTCATTAACATCACAAAACGCGTCATTTCCGTTTTGGGTCAACGTCACTCCCAACGGAAGTTTATTTCCGGCCGGTAATGACGTCAGCACACCGCGCGATTTAGTTTGAGAATACGCGAGATAATTGCGAAAATTTCGCGAGGTTTTTAATTAATTTTTTTTATTTAATATAAAAAAATCAAATTTTCATACTTATTAATTTTTTTCGTTGCATTTTGTATTGCTTTAGCTATCGGTTCCGTTATCTCCCATTTAAGTTTCTCAATTTTCAATTCCCCTTCGTCTTTCGGACTCTTTTCTGCCTTCTTTTCTCTGTAAAAATAATTCAAATTGCTTTTATAACGATCGAAAACGATTCAATTTAGCGTAAAATTACTATTAAAAATTGTATTAAACTTACAGGAAATTTAAAAATTCCTCACAAAATCTTAAAACTGTGATACCCTCCGAAACCGAATGCTCCATAACGAAACCCGAAACTCCATCTTTTGTTACAACGAACTGTAAACAGTAATTAAATAAATGAAGTAATATTGTTCTAGGATATATTTCCAGCTTGTTTCATTATCAGAGATAGGCTATAAAAAGTAAGTAATGGCTAGTGGTTATCTAAGTTTCTGAATTAGTATCCTATAAGGGTACAGTTAACACGATTCCGAAATGGTCGAAAGCAATTTTTGTAATGTTTTTTTCAGGAAAATCGAAAATTACACTTTTTCGATTGAAGGAAATGAGTTCTAATCTTATTACTTGAGTCCATTTTAAAGTTTAAGTATGCAAAATAACGGTGGTTTTACGTCAGTCTGTTTTATCTCGCCTTTATAAAAGCGGAATGCGGAAACACAGTTATTCCTTATATGTATTTCTAAAGTTTGCTACATAAAAAACTTTATAAAGGCTTTATAAATTTTAAAAAAATAGAGTTTATACAAAAGAAAAGAAACTAAATCCCATAGGCACATAAACAGGAAGTCTTTGATTTTTTTATAAAGTTTTGGCTCGATTTTTTCAACACTTCTTATTTTTTTACGTGAGGAAGTGTTATATATGCTTTATAACTTACATATAATTTTATTTTATTTTTTAAAACCACTACAACGGATATGAGATGGTTTCATATATGTTTCATACGTTCAGAATAACTTATTTTTGTATTATAAGTACTACCATGCTAAGAAATTAGATACAATTTATGATTTATAAATATATATAGTATATTGTGTATTATGTATCGGTTTTTTATAGAATTCTTGAATTAGAAAAAATATATACAATTTGTATACCGTAATAAAATATACATAAAGTAAAAATTTCATATTTAGCCTGAAGGTAGCAGAAAATAATTTATAAAAAAAAATAGCTTCTGATTAGATAAAATAAAAGTAATATAAAGAAAAATGGGTCTTTCTAAAGTTAATGAAATATGTAGAAGACAAGCTAAAGCTCATTTATTTTTAACGTAGGTTTAGATTAGTTTGATTCATTTAATATAACTTAAAGTCATATTAAATGAATCAGATTAATCTATAACTAATTGGTGTTTCTAGCTTCCTAGTTAACATAGATTCAGTACAGTGGTGGATCTAGCTAGAAGCAGTCGGTGCAGCGTATAGGGACCCGGTTGGTTACTAGGTAAGAAAAAAATCATAATTTTCTATATTATATATATATAAATTAACGAAAATAAAACTTTGTGAGGCTCTATAAATAATTTCTACACCGAGTCTGAGACACTTGCACAACTACTGATTCTGTAAATCCAGATTCAACACGAATTAGGCTATGTGTATTTTCACTCCAATAAAATCGCTTAATACATACCTGTAAGAAATTATCATACCATCTGTTTCCGCTATTATTATTGGTACCATTTCCATGGAGAAGGTGGCTAGCCATAGCAGCCGGTTCTATATACATGGATGCCTTCCTACCATTTCTAGTTTGAGAAAGATAATCGTCTAAACATAGCACGTACAAACATTCTTGGATGGTTTTTATAGATTCTCTGTTCACCCGGCCTAATATAATATTTACATGTTTTATACAAAGAGATGTAAAGTTATAGCTTAAAAACATATAGCCTATTTATGAAACTTACTTTCACTCAAAGTGCTGTAAATTTTACTCCACTCTGGACGACTTTCAACTGTCAAAATACCAACGGGAGGATCGAACGGTTCTTGCTTGCTTAATTTTTCAATCTGACGAAATTTCTCAAAAATGGCTTCTTCGTTAGGGTTATCGTTCGGGAAATGAAGAGCAAAAAACTATTACAAAATAGATTAAATACGTAAGACAAAAATCGTTTGTTGATTAAAAACTGTGTCATAATAGACCTACATAAAAGAAAGCAAATTATAGATATTTCTGATTTGATAGATAGGAAAGGAGAGAAAATTCAATTTGGAGCGTCTGGAGCAAGAACATATGACCCCTAACGATGCAAATTATTTTCCTACTACTAGAGATTAAGCATCTGTTTTGTGTCATGTCTTGGCCTGTGATAAACACTGACACCACTGCTACTACAGCTTCCAACAAAAATCTTTGAAACCATTAAATTTCTCTTACACCACATTATTGCCCATAAAATATCTGATTCCAAATGATCTCTTTCGAATAAAATCGAAAATTTAGTAAGTAGAAACGTTGATTTATCATCTTACAGAATTGAATTTTATCGAATTTTCAAATGAAAACAATCTGGATAATGAGAAATTCAAATAATCAATAAAACTTCATTTGATTATTTCTGGTTTTTTTATAGTCTGAGCGATTTTATTTTTATGTTTCAAACATTAAATAAATAAATTAATAAATAAACCCGTGTTAAATCTCTTATATCACAATTAAAATTGACAATATTTACGATAAAGTTGCACGTAACAAAATATCAGAGAGCGAAAAAATTGCTGAAGAAAACGCTCAAAATAGAACAAGTCGTCAATACTGCTCACAAAACAAGTTAATAGCAAAGTATACAGTGTAATTCTCTCCATAAGAACTGGGATTACTGCCCATTCGTTGCATTATTGAATTCTTTAAATAAATTATGATATACCTATATGGATTCGAGTTCTATACGCCATGATTTACCTTATCTTTGCTCGGTTTCGACATAGACACTTCGCTACAGAATGTTTAACACGGATATTTACAGTTATATATAATTCAAAGAGAAAATTATAGTTGCAGTAGTTGGTTTGGGTCGATGAACGCTTTTATTTTCTACGAAAATAAATATTTAATCTTTGAATTTTTAAAATTTTATATTATTGATATTGTTAATTTGCTCGATTCAGGAATAATTGTAAGGGGTAGACATAATTCGAATCGTAATTTGCAGGCAATTTCAAGAAATTTAACTGATTTATCTTTGAAAAATTAGTTAAATTTAATATTAAATATTGTTAAAAATATCTTATAATTAATTCTGAGCCAGAATTGTAGCAGCAATCTATTTATATATAAAATAGATTTTGTAGATAGAGTAATTATAAATTTAAAGAAAATTTTTCTTTATTATTGGTAAAATAAATCAGCTAGTTCCTAAAAGAAAATGCATTTAGATATACAAAAATAAATTTAAAATTAATTCTGATTAAAAATTATATAATAATTTGTAATTCATATATTTAAACATTCCAAAAGGAAGTAAACTTTAGAAATTATTTAGTAAAGTATCCAAAAATTCGACCAGTCAGTCTATAAAAAGCTAAAAGAGAAAGAAGAAATCTTTAAAATAAATCTGTAAATTTAATACTGATTTGAACTAGAATCTACTGCATTTTCTATAAGACAAAGCTAAGTAACTTGTATCTTCCTATAAGAGATCTGAGCTTCAAAACTGGATTAAACTCTAAAAAGAAAGGATTGAAAGATAAATTAATAATTCAAGAACGTTTTCGAATCCAGATTTTAAAAATAAAGAAAGAAGTCTCTAAGGTAAACTAAAAGTTTTAGTGAGTGTATACATTCAGCAGCAGCAAAACTTAGTTGGTTTCTAAAAGAGAAGGTTGATTATGTGCGTCATTCAATAGAATGACACGTTATATATTATTTTATATAAAAGCTAGTAGCATACAAATTGATCCAATGTTGATTACGTTACAGAATCAAGCATTTTAGTGTATAAAAAAATGTTAGCTAAAACGCAGAGGTAAAGATATTCGTTTACAGAACACGTAGCGAAACCAATTTATCACGTTCTTATCGTTATTCTTTGACGTTTTGTTATCAAATGGGCAACACTTCATCTCACAAACCACGACAGTTTTTAAAGTAAGCAAGATTGAGTCGTAAATGTGTACATGCCCGTCCCAAAATACAATATACAACACGCTCACATTCGTATGTAAGTAAAGCAGAGTAAAGATTCCACTCTCTGATTAAATATTCAACCAGACACTTTATCCGATTATCTAATGCATTATCGGTCATAATTCACGAATCTCGAAGGTATAATCTAATATAAAAATTATAAATAAATGAAAAAAAAAAGTCATATGCTTTTGGCGATTTGAATCGTGTCTTATCGGTTCATTTACAATTCGTAGTTTAATAATTCCGGTTGTCATTCTTTTATAGTGGCGCCTGCTTAATCCCATGTAGAGTTGTGTACATTATGCGCAAAGATCTTATCGGCCATGTTTAAAAATTGATGATGGAAGCTCCGCCATCCCTGCCTGCATCGAATGATTAATTCATCTCTTTGTTCGACCAACTCTTAACACCTGCTGAGTAGTCATGGCAACTGTACGGCCGGAAGTTTGGGACAGTAGCGCCGGAAGTATGGAGTGACGGTCAACTAAGCAACCAATTGAAGTACCTGAACGGAAAAATCGTTTGTTTTCCTTTTAGTTTAGTTGTCGCTGCAGTAGAAGAATTTTAATGGCGAATTAATAATTCATTCTGCGGAGTTGGAATTTATTTTTATTTTTTTATTTTAAATAATTATTAAAATATTATTAAAATATATATATATATATTTGAGAGATTTTTACCATTGTATATTTTTTTCTATTTATTTATTTTTGTTTTCGTTTTTTCACTAAAGGTGTCGTTTTTGTTGTTTTTGTACCTGTGCTTCATCTGCTTGCATTTTGGTAATTGCACAATAGGTTATCGTGCCTGGTATTCGTTGCTACAATTTTTTTTGTTTTGTTTCGTTGTTTACTTTAACTGTAGATGTAGTAGCACGTAAGTATTCTTGCATTCGTGCTAGTCTCTTGTTATTATTCTGATCATTTTGTGTTTATGCTCTATTTTATATATAGTTATAAGGTTTTTATAATACAAATAATGCTTTAAAAACTTGATTATTTAAACAACTGATGATGTTTATGCAGGATATGATTTTTTATACAACAAAAACATGAAGATGAATATTTGAATAACCGAAAATGTTTGTTAAATATTAAATATTTGCTGGATTAGAAGTCTCCATTTTATCCAGCTTTTACTATAGCTAAAGCCAACATTTATACACCTTACTCGTACAGGTGAAAGGTTCTTTAACGTGTCGATAATTCTATTCATTCATACGTTATACAATTCACTCGAGCAGTTAATGGAACTCATTGATACATTTAACGGTGCTCATTCATATAAATACACACTTTATACAATTAAAAAGCACTTACTTATGGGCACGAGTAGAACACATTAATGCAATAAGAGGCGTGCCATTCGTCTGTTTAATGATATTTATTCGTAAAAATAAACACATAAAAATTCATAATATCCACTACTATAGGTTCTTTTTGTGTTATCATTTAATCTAAATTATAAAATTTATTCTATCTGGTGTTTTTATGTGATACCCTTGTATATAGAATTCAACAGGTAATAGGATTAATATTAATATAAATATTCATTTATAGAAAGCATCCATGAATAGCACTCATCGATGTTAATATATAAAATTACCTGTATAGGTAAATAGATATTATACATCTTTATATATTAACCTTGTTTACATCTCTTCGTAATGTTATGTTATTTGCTATTGGATGAATAAGTTGAGAATCCATTTATATAGATAATAATACTTTAATATAGGTAAAAGCATTTATTTTGTCGGAAATATACATTCAAAAGCTGATTAAATCAGGTGTGGTGTTCGGGCTAACTAATGATGAATTTTATCAGATATAATAAATGGTTGATACAGATCATTTGTTGATATAATTAATATTTGTTATTATAGTGTATCAGATAAGTTCATGGCCGTAATATACGTCAAAATTATTTTATGGGCTTTAAACACGTCGATTGTTTCGACAATTCGTGCTTATCGGACTTTCGAATAAATTAGCTTACATTTGTTGGTTATTTTATGCAATATTTACCGATTAATCAATTGAAAGTCTCTAGGGATTACTCTTGTCGTTCGATAATCTGAACAGTGAAAAATATATACGCGATTACTAAAATGCAAAAATCTTACACGTCCATATATTGAATTTTACTTGTGTTTATCCGTTATTGGTTGTTTTATGGCTTGAGATGGAATCTTACTTTCCTTATTATTTATATATCGCTTTCTGGCAAAAAATTCACGATAAAAAATTTATTTGTGTTACTTACCTTTATTTCACAAAAAATCGATGTGTCTAAACAATAAACGTCACGGAAAACGTAGCGAATTTTTGCTGTTTATTATAGTAAGCGGCGATGAAAACATAGCCAAAATTATACCATAATTCTGTAATTTTTGTAACATATATCATTTATAAGTGGCTTAATGATATCGTCAAACATTTGCAAATGATACCAACATAGGCCCCCATATATCATCGAGCGATGTGAATTATATACACGTAGTGAAGTTGAACGCTTGCGTGTACCACTAATGGTCACAATGACAATAAACTAATTATAAAATGTTACCGATGAAATATACAGTAATACATACGAATATATTTTTCGCAGGAGATTGAAAATTTAATTTTCGCATAATCTATATCATGCGATGTTACAGTTAGTTCCGAAAGTTTAGTTAGTCTATAAATGCAATGGGTGTGTTCGTTGTAAAAGGTGCAATAAATGTAGGTGTTTATATCAATATAGTCTACTAAAATGGAAGCTAAAAATGCATCTGGAGATAGCGAAGCCGCATGTACAGTACTGTACATAGACCGTAGAAAGTAAGACAAATTTCGGTTTTAACGTCAGACGTAGCTTATCTAAGATTTATGCAATAAATTTTTTTCTTTCTTACGGACCAATGAATTTTTTCGCAGGAAAAGAAGATAAAAGATGTTAG